GTTTGGAGTCATTTGGGGTTAGGACTAACTCACATTGCTTATTTAGTTGTTTTAAAACTCTAGAATAATAGTCCTTTTATGTGTTTCTATAAGAATTTGGAGACAATTATTTATAATTCACACATCCTCTTGTAGCACCTTGATATTTATAAGATTTTTTTTCATAAAAAAAAAAAGAAGCTAGCCAACAATTTAAATAACTTAATGGTAATTTCTTTCTAATAAAAGTAAAAGATCTTAAGTTTGAGTTACATAACATGTAAGTAAAGTGGGTTAAGAATAGAAAAAGTCACCTTCCATTTTGTAACTCAAAACAAAATAAAAAAGGAAAATGATTTAGGGTACAACCTTTTTATACTTATCTTTTTGTACAATTTTATAAGCCATTTAAATGATTGACTATTTTATTCATTTGGAATTCATGATATTGAATGTATCCACTTATTTAATAACATATAAAAGTTATATAAAAATGATATAAAAAGATTAATCTTATATCACCACTCAATAAAAAATAAATAAATAAACAAAGGTAGGGTGTATGGATGCCAACTAGGATTTTTTTTATTTTCTTTTCTTTTTTTTTTTTCCAAATTTGCTCATGCTAATTGGGTTTACTTGTTAATAATTTAAATAGTTTAATAGTGATATTCTTTTATTAGTATTTAAGATGTTAGATTCATTGTTTGCAATTGGGGTGTGCTAAGAGATGAAAATTAAATTTTGCAGTTTAAAAACCGAAAAAAACAAAAACAAAGAAAAAAGAAAACTGAGTTTTACTTTTGTCAAACAAAGAGGTTAGTAAACTAAATCGTTTCATTCTCTCTCTTAAATTGTTTTTCTTTGCCTTCTTTCTAGAACTATGACTGCTACTGCAAACCCATCTCCAAATCCCCAAGAATCTGACCTTTTATCTCGTTCTGTCAAACGCATCAAAGGGGATGGTAATCCCCCTATTGCTGAAGAATATCATCTCTATGAAGCTCCCCCCAAACTATTGTCATACAAAGACATGTTGTCCTCACTCGAACCCACTTCTATTCTCTGTGACAGTTCGAACAGAGATGAAATTCTAGAAGAGGATTCAGATTTTGAGGATGATGGTATCATTCCCACCATCCACATATCCAAAGAAGAAAAGAAAAGAATTTGTACGCCATGGCTTAACTCACTCATTATCAAGGCCTTTGGGACTAATAAAGCGGGCTATAACTTCATTTTTCCTAGGATTAAGGCTCAATGGAAGCCAAGAGGAAAAATGGATTGCATTGATTTAGGGCTTGATTTCTTTCTTATTCGCTTTCATGATAAAGAGGATCTGAATCGTGTTCTCCATGGGGGACCATGGTTCATCGGACCTCATTTTCTCACAGTCAGAAGATGGGAACCTTCCTTTGACCCCGCCAAAGCCACTTTCAAAACCACGACGATATGGGCGAGACTCCCGCACCTGCCTATTGAATATTACGATGTCCAAATCCTTGAAAGAATTGGGAATATGCTGGGCACCCCTCTTCGATTAGATGCTTATACTGCCCATCAATCGAGGGGTCAATATGCTAGAATTTGCATTCAAGTTGATCTCGACAAACCTCTTGTGCCCTTTGTTCAAATTGGAAAGCATGTTCAAAAAGTCCTTTATGAAGGACCTATTGCTTTGTGCTATGCGTGCGGATGCGTCGGACATAAAGAGGACAAGTGTCCTCTCAAAACCCCTCAACCCATGGCTATTGTTGAGGAACAATTGACAGATTCCCAAAATTCACAAGTTCCAGCTGAAGGAAATTGTAAAGACTTGCCAGATAGTCAAGGATTTGGGCCATGGATGCTGGTGGAACAGCAAAAGAACAAAAAAAAGCAGAACCACTCTCAAATCAACAACCCAGTGAGTTGACTCACTAGGTCAAGGAACGGGTCATGAATAGTAAATTCAACAGGAAACCATAATTCTGACACCGCATTTAATGTGGTGACCGTTGCCAGTAACGGACAAATTGCAATGACTCAAATGACCAATACAAATCATAAGGATCACAATTCAGGCTCTTCTTATGCAGCTGGGCCTAAAAGCATTGCAAATGACCCAACCCATCATAACACTATCCAAGTTGATAAGGTAAATTCGAACTCCCCAATTTCTAATCACCACTATAATGGATCTAGTTTATCTTTGCAGGCCAA